GATGCCCACCATGCGGAGGACCGTGTCGGAGATCCGCTCCCGCGCCGAGGGTGAGTGGCCGCCGCAGCAGCGGACTGGGCGCCGAGCGCGGGCGGGGGCGGCTGGGGGCCAGCCGGGGGTCGGGCCGGCGGTGCGTGTGTGTGTGCGCGCGCGTGTGTGTTTATGTTGGGGAAGAGATGCCCCATCCCACCACTTCCCCCGGGAAAGTCTGGCTGTCGTGCCTGGTCGCTGGCGGACCCTTCTCCCTGCGCCGCCCGCAGTGCGCTCGCAGACCCCTCCCCGGCTCCAGAGCCCCGGAATTGGTGTCCTCGCTGGCCCCGAGGCTTGCTTTTCACCGCAGCGTGACCGTTCGGTCTCTGTCACCGAGCGCTCTCACCCTGCCCACCTCCCTCCCCACTAGCGCACAAACCACCCCGTCTCCACTCAGCTACCTCACTCTAGTGAACAGATCCCCAGTCCGCCGCCCACCTTTTTGCAGCCCCCACACCCCGGCTCCCCGAGAAGCGGGTTTGCCTTTCCCCGGCTGCAGGATCCTGTGTTCCCCAGCCAGCCCCTTGCCTCGCAGAGCGCAAGGAGCCTTAATTGGGGTTGGGTGCTCAGCGGGTAGTGTGCATTACAGTCGCTGCAATTCTGCCTCCTGCATTGGAGCCTCACCCTCCTCCGGGCTGAGGTTTCGTTGTTGTTGTTGTTTTCCTTTTGCCTGATCCCCGCACTGTGGCCAGCTGAACTGTCTTTTTGGCGAGGTGGAAGCTGTTTTCTGTGCTCCACCCAGGGCCAGCTGTTGAATGGCTACGCTTATCAGCAATGAGCAACAGATGCCCAAAGGTAAAGGCAAGTAAGCTTTTGGAGGGCCAAGACCCTCTCTTCATCCTATCTGAGGAGCCCTCAGCATCCTGCCTAGCATGTGGCAGTCACTCGGTAAATATTTCTTGATTTTGCTCATGGTAAAGCCAAGATTGTACATATCTCGAGTATTGTTTTTTTCTCTCCCATAAACCCATACTGGAATCCTGCAAAGGGTGGAATAACATTTTTTTGAGAACTAGTCTGTCTTGCCATCATCCCTGGTTCCCACCCTTCCCCCATCCTACCCTCTAATGTGAGCCAGGTGGTAAAGTGGTTTTAGAATAAAAGATACAGAAGTTAGGAGGATAGAATTCCAGGGACTTCAGACAGGCCATTTTATTATTTTTCCTCATCAGAGTCCCCATGTTAAAAACAGAGGCACTAGCCTCTAATATCTATGGTTTTCTGATTACAGCACTCAGGAAATACTAAATGAAACTTCTCTGGAGAGAAACAGTCAAAACTGACCCATGTCCTACTTAGGAATTTAGTACATACTTATTGTCATTTGTAAGATAATGAAAAAATATAGAGAGCATTACAGTTTTAGATGCACGTTTGAATAAATGATAGTGTTATTTTAAAATGTACACAGTAAAATAGTATTCTTTTTTCTTTACACTTTTGAATGAAATGAACAAATTTTCTTAATCATCATTGGAGTGAGCCATAAACATAATGAAAATATAGTAGTAATAGTTGGGATTGTTCTTTCAAATAATAGCAGTTGATGGATTGTATATTGTGAGAAATGGTAAAAGAGAAAGGACCATAAAACAATGCAAACCTGTGGCGTTTGAGAGGATTTTATTAGTATTGAGAGACTACAGTATTGTTTTTGATTGGCGTATGTATTTCCCAAAGCATTTTCACCAAGATTACCTTATGGAACCTTACAACACTCCTGGAGGTTGGCGAAGGTGGTCCCATCACATAGTTGAGGAATCTGTGGCCCAGCTGGTTGAGGTACTTGCCCAAGGTCGAGTAGCTCATTCAGTGACACATTTGGATTAAGAGCGCTGGGAAAACAAGGACTGTTTCTTGTTTAATCTTTGTATTCCCTTTGCATCCAGTACAGTGTCAGGGGCACAGGGGCGCTTGGTGAATGACGCTTCCCTCCCATATTGGTTGGTTTCAGTTTATTATGTGCTCAGCATTTTGCTCGGGACTGTGGTAAGGACAACATAAATAATGCCACTGTGGGCTGGCGATGTGGCTCATTGCCTGCTCTGCCCACACTTTTCTTTCGTAAGGAATATTCTCCTTTGACAGCTCCTGCTGCCTGAAGGGCCTTGTTCTAAACTATAGCCTCCTTGGCTTCAGCTTATTGGACCAGGGTAGGCTCCTGACCCAAGAGCAGACAATCCATAGGTGGCTCAGACACTTGTAACCTTGTGGTTTGGCTCAAAAAGATTCTCTGTAGTGATCATCTCTCATGGGAAGAGTTAAGCTTAGAGACTTAGAGTAAAAATTGAAGCAGAAAAGGGCAGAGGTGAACAGGCTGGTAGAGGAGAGAATGACTGGCTGTACTAGGTCACGCGAATGCTGCTGATATGAGAAACTATGAGTGAACAGAGAAATATAGGAGAGAAAATGGATGAGATGGAAATAATGGGGCAGAGAGACACAGATACTGAGAGAGATGGCCAGACCTTGGAGCACCTTCCTCCCTGACTTTTCTAGTCCCAGCTCCCAAGTAGCGTTAGAATAGGCTCTTTTTTTCTTTGAAGTGACTTGAATGGGTGTCTGATTCCTGCACATGGCTGTCCTGTGTGGAAGTTCTTTACAACCAAATTGGGGTAAAAGAACTTACATGAAGTAAGGAATAAATGGTCAAAGAGGGGATGTTATTAATTGGACACTATGCTTGCCCTAGGTGACATAGGTCAAGACATAAGAGCATGAGGTCTGCCCGGCAAACACTTCCTTAAGAAAGGATTTGAGATGAGTGCTCACCCAGTGCTTCTCAAACTTGAAGGTGCACGTGAATCACTCAGGGATCTTGTTAGATGCAGATTCTAAATCCATAGGTCTGTGGTGGGGCTGGAGTGGCAGTTCTGACAAGCTCACAGGTAATGCTGGATGATGCTCCCCTGCAGCTCACAGTCTGAGTAGCAAGGTTCTAAAGGATATTGCCATCTTTTTCAATATTTGGGAGGGCGTTGAAGGCAGAGAGTAATTGAAAAAATGGTGAAAGTGAACATGGCCTATTTGGGGGTTCTTAAGGAAATTGGCCAGAAGCAGAGGGAAACTTGGAAGGAGTAGGATATAAATTTGGGTGGGTAAAGTACTGCTAGATTACAATGCCAAGATGAGTCCATTGGATATAGAATTGAATATTTGAAGAGGGTCTTAGAGTTCATCTAATCCAATTTCTCATTCAATCATGACATCAATGTATAATATCTCTAACAGGGCCAGTTAGGAGCCAAATTGTTATAACAAGAGTGACATCCCCAAAGGAGTGTCTTAGAAAGATAAGTCTGGAAGTATGTTGGATGGTTTGGAGGGAATGGCACTGTAAATAGAGTCTATTGTAAAAAAAAAAAAAAGTCTACAAATGACAAAGGGCAGGATTAGTAGTGGAATGGAGTGTTGAGACTGAAAAGGTAGGAATCAGAGACATTTCTGAGTAAATCATTAACTCGTACAAGTACTGTTCCAGGTACTTGTGATACATCAGTGAACAGAACAGAAAAAGCGCTGACCTGGACGTGCTTACATTCTAGTGAGGCAAGAGACAGAGCAAACACATAAGTTAGCAAATGATAGAATTTGTTATATGGTAAGTGCTGTGGGAAAAATAAAGAGAAGGAAAGATGCGTAAGTTTGGTAGATGGATTGCAATTTAAATAGGTTGGTTAGGCTAGCCTTCAGTGAAAAATTGGAGGAGCTGACGGAGTTTAGCCTGGTGGGGGTCTGGGGGAAGAGTATTTCAGGCAGAGGGAACAGCCAGAGCAAAGGCCCCAAGGCAAGAGAGAGTCAGGAGTGTTAAATAGACAGTGAGGGGAGAATGGTAGGAAATGAGGTCACAAAGGTCTTATCAGGTGACATAGTGAATAGAGAGCAGGAGACAAATGAATTAAAAGGAGATTCTCAAGCAGTAATTTCAAATTTTAATGTTTACAAGATCCCAGGTATCTCATTAAAACTGCAGTTTCCTGGGCTGACTCGTGACAATTCTGTTCAGTAGATCTTTGGTGGGACTGGGAGTCTACATTTTTAATGAGCTTTCCAGGATGTTCTGGTGCAGGTGAGACACATTTTGAGGAAATCTACTTTTACCTGATTGATTGGGAAAATCTATTAAAAGATAAGGAAATTGAGAAGGAGGATCAATACAATAAGAGGAGATATTATTTAAAATTTTGAAGTAATTGTGTGACATCCACATGTTTTGAAGATACTTAGAAATTTCTAAGTTAGATGTGGGAAAAATCAAACTTGGAAATCTTGAGTTTCAGACATAACGGTTGAAACTCTTCTAGTGGGTAAATTTGCCAGAAAGCAAGGCTAGATAAAGCAGAAGACTAAGAATTTTAGATCTCTTCACTTCTACCCTCAACTAAATCAAATGGGTCTCTGAACACAGCATTAATAGTGCTAGAAACAGGGAGTGAAATAATGGTGACTTACACAAAATAGTTTTTCCGCGCTCTTGTAAAACTAGTATGGAGGAGGGGAAAAAAAACCCCAAAAAACAAAACAAACAAACAAAAAAATTAGTATGGAGTTAGTCAGTCCGGGTTGGCTATGCCCACTACCTGAAGTCATGAAGGACATTGCCTCCTGTGCCTTTCTGCTTCTCCCTCCTGAGTCTATAACTTCCATAAAGTCACAACAGTGATCACTGGGGTTCCAGCCGTCGTGTTGGAGTTCCAGGCAGGAAAAAATGGAAAGGTAAGAGATGAAAATCTTTTCCTGTAAGTGTCACACAAAGACTAATGCTTATTTTGCATTGGCTGCCAGCTGCAAGGGCAGCTGGGAAATGGAGTTTTCTAGCTGGGCACATTACTCAGTGTTTGTGTTACCAAAGGAAAAAGGGAGAATGGTTGTAGGGTAGGCAACTAACAGGCTCAGTCACCATCAGGTACTCATATAAAATCAGAGAACTGTTCTAGAGCTCATAATTTACAAAATAATAAGCATTAAATTGTTCAAAACTAAGGAAATGCACAAAAAGATACATACCTATCCAATGTTT